CCTGCCCAGCTTACCTCTTCTCTGGCAACTTCTGCAATCCTGGGTCTAGTCAAGTTTTTTCATAGGTCTATTCTACCAGCTCTCTCAGTTTTTCCAGGCCTGCCACCAGGGAAAGGCCAGCCCTAACTTAGTCCTCTTTTCCTAAGTCACTAGTTGCTTTTTAAAGTCCTGACAGTCACAGGACCCCAACAATCCCTGTGTAGACATTTCCCTGGGCTCCCTGCTTTTTAAAGGTTAAGCCCCCAGTTACACACAGGCTCTCAATACCTCCACTTAAAGGGTTTGTACACTTTGCAACGGATGCTACTCCCTTGACTGTAGTGGAATTCCACCAGTTTCCACCATGACAGGATTAAACCCAATGGCTGTACAATTCCATGAGTTACTTCAGTAATTAAGGTTAAGTGATTTGACAAAGTCAAATTCAGAAGTCAGTGGCAGATTTGTACCTCATACCTTATACTCTGCAAGGAACGCTGTGATCTGGGTCCAGGCAAAACCATATTTCTTAAAAGTTAGAGTAACTTTTATAACAGGGATGCCCAACTTCTATGGCACTGAGAGCCACAAACCCCATAGCCTGGACCAACAGGGGCCGTATGCCTCTGGGCTGCACCAGGTTGAGCCAGGTACACCCTAGGCTGCATGCTATATGGATGCACACTTCTGACTGTGCCAGCATGTGCTTGTGTGGAGGTCTCCCCAACAGCTGTACCACCCACTAACACCACCCCAGGATCACCCTCACCTCTCCAAGATGTGCTGCACCAAACTGCCCCAACCCCTGGGCCAGGAACAGGAAGCTGAAGCTGGTGGAAGAACGGAAGGGGCCAGAGACTCCTTATGCAGTTTCGGTCTAAGCAAGGAGAGAGTAGCAGCTTGGCAGAAGCCCAGGGGCCACAACTTAACCCTTCACAGGTAACATGGAGCTCACAGGCTGCCAGCTGGATACCCTTCTTTAGGATATCAACACACACAATTTTATATAAGAACAGGCCTCAACACAAATAAAAAACCAACTTTATTTACAGTCATTCAGCTTTGTCAGGCAGCAATATCAGCAACAGATTCTCCTGCATGTACATGGGCCCCCAGAAGTGGCCCTCACAATTAAGAGGGTGTTATTCATGAAGCAGGAACTGAATGCCACAGCAGACTTAGTTCTCCTGGGTATGCTTCCTTTCTCTTGGTTGTCTTCAAATCCGAGTTCCTGGTCTCCCCCAGCCCTGCCCCCACCCCGCTTCACATCTGTTCACTTTGGCTATTTTAGGCTAGTTTCCCCCCCCTCCCCAATCCAAGTAAATGTTAAAAGGATTTCAGGCTGAGACTTATTCCTATTTGGGATCTGGTCATTTGGACAAGGCTTTACTGTGTGTTTATCAAAAGTTATGATCCACTAAAATGTAAATCTGATACTTGATCTTCCTCATCCACTTTCATCCCTATAATTCCTCTCCAGGCAGAAGTAACCCTTTGTTGCAGTTCCATCTCTATTCACCAGGTTGAACAGAGAGAGCGCCCGGTAAAGAGCTATATTAACTTCCACATCATCATCTTGATGAGGGGGTAGGTATTGTGCCTGGCTGATCAGTTTTCCATAAAGGTTCTAAGTCTACATGGGCTTTTAGCAAGAATGCCAACACTAGTTTCACTCTGCTGCTGCTCCATCAGCTCCTCATGAGACCTGATTAAAAGTGCAGTCAGTCCTGTTTGTTTCTAGCTATACACAAATGTATCCCAGCTTGCAACATTTCAGCTTTGATTAGCTTTTTTTTTTTTTTTAAAGTGTCTGTGAAACCGTTTTCCTCTGCTCCAGGATTTCTTGACAACTTCTGTACACTTCAACCAAGCAGTCCAGACGTGGCTTGGAGCTCTAGAGATCAAGTTGAAAAACAGAGTCAGACTTTAAGCTGGCTATGGAAGAGTTAAAGAGCATTCACCTTCATATACAGTAAAATCTGTAAGTTGAAGAAAATGCCAAGAATCTATTCTTAGTGGCTTCATCATCTTGCTTTAGGATAAGAAAGAAAAAACTCCCCTCTTAAACACATAGCTAAGATGGTCCAGCAAATGCTAAGGTGGACTGAGGCAGGCTGGAGGTAATAGAAATTCATGACTATTGCCTCTGTTGTACTTGCTTTGTGGTTAATGAACTTCAATGCTCAAGGTGCTTGGTGCAGTCACTGTCATCAGTAGGACATTCACTCCGTTCTTTAAGTTACTGCGACGAGATGGTTGAGACCTTACATACTCAAAGTCTAGAATATTTAAATGGATAACTTATAGGTTCTGTGGAAATCAACTCCCTTGTACAGGTAGTATTCTGTATTGTCAGGTTCAATTTAATATCCCAGGGCATGGCTATAATAGTCATGAAAGGCACAATTTTGAACTTCGTAATCTCAGCAACAATACAGCAGTAACATTTTTCACCTTTAAATTCCTCAGCTTTTCAGCAATAAAATAGCAGAATTTGTTGGAGACTCTCAAATTGCTTTGCAGACATTAAGGCCCACAATACCCTGCAAGATGGACAAAGATCTCTTTTATTAATGAATAAACTGAAGTTATTCAGAGGACCAGCCAAGGGCTGTACACTTAGCTAAATTGAACCTTGCTAGAAGAAGGGGTAATTGTTAAGCTACAGGAGTTGTGCTTACTTACACCATGGAGTAATTTGCCGGGGTAGCTTAGTACCAGGTCAGAGAAAAGGAAGAGAGAAAAAAAGACTGAATACGCTAATACATATACTTGGTACAACCCCAAAATCAGTATTAGTCATTTTGTAATAAAACGATGGAGAGCACATGATGCAAAGTCATTGGCATTTAGAAAATTTACAGGAAATCCAGAAGGATCTGGCTGACAAGTCACAACATGGATGAGATAAAAACCGAATTTTGCATAACTTTTTTTGATCAGGACCAAAAGGACAAATGAGCTCACAAGCTGCTACTCATCTTTAATAGGAAGTTACAGCCCACAGAGACAGGTCCTGACAAGTACAGTAGTACTCTGCAGTTCAGTTCCTGCATCACATCTTTATAATGCAGAACAGGACTATTGCAACCTGCTTCATAACTCGGGTATGGACCTTGAGTTAGAATCATAGAACAATTAGAGTTGGAAGGGACCTCAGGAAGTCATCTAGTCCAACCCCCTGCTCAAAGCAGGACCATCCCCAACTAGATCATCCCAGCCAAAGCTTTGTCTAGGTGGGTCTTGAAAACCTCCAAGGATGGAGCTTCTACCACCATTCCAAGATGGCCAGTGGCTCTGCAATCACATCAGCGATCACTCCCTCAGCATCCTCGGGTGCATCCCATCCAGCCTCATGGACCTGTACATGTCCAGCTTTTCTAAATAGTCTCTAGGCTGTTCTTTCACCACTGAGGACTGCTTACCTCCTCCCCTAACTGTGCTACCGGATGCGATAGTTTGGGAGCTGACCTTATTTGTGAAGACTGAGGCAAGAAAAAGCATTGAGCATTTCAGCCTTTTCTGCATCCTCTGTCACAAGGTTGCCTCCCCCACACGTTCCCTGATCCTCCTCTTGCTACCAAAATACTTGTAGAAACCTTTCTTGTTACCCTTCACATCCCTTGCTAGCTGCAACTCCAATTGCACTTTGGCCTTCCTGACTTCATCCCTGAATGCCTGAGCAATGCTCTTGTATTCCTCCCTGGTTGTTTGTCCAAGTTTCCACTTCTTATAAGCTTCCTTTTTGTGATTTAGTTGACTGAAGAGTTCCCTGCTAAGCCACGGTGGTCTTCTGCCATACTCGCTAGTCTTCCTGCACATTGGGATGGTTTGTTCCTGCACTCTCAGTAAGCAACACCGGCCTCACCTCACACTCCCCCCCCTCCCCCCATGCCCTGCTCCCTGCAAGTGGCAATGATCGAGCAGGGGGGGGAAAAAGGACGAAGCCACCAGACCTGGCCTTGCTCTCTCCCCTCACTGCCCTTGTTCCTTGGAGGTGATGGTGGCGGTGGCATGGGTGGGGGGGAGCAGGGTAGGGATGTCGGCACTGCAGTGGGGAGGGGGGGAGAGGGCCCAGTCCCCAAGCAGCGGGAGGGAAGGGGGGAGCGGGCCCAGGGGTGGGGGCATGGGGCTCCATCCCTGCCCCCATCATTCTTGACGGGCAATTGGCTAGTAACTCTATGACTGTGCAAGGACTTCCAATTCTTCCTGCAAGTTACCAGAGCAACACTGATAGAGTCAAATTTGGGCAGTAAACACTTACTAAGATTCAGGGGTCCCTGGCTTTGCCCATGACCCAGCAAATAGATGCAGCTGGGTAAGTTCTATGCCTGGGTTTTCACTGCTAAGTGACTATTATGGAAAATAGCTGATATAGGTAAGTGTACCACCATCAAGGACTACAAAGGAAATCTGAATGATGCTTCCTTTTATTGATGTTGAATATACTATATCAAATACTGAAGTTGAGGTACATATCCTATTATGTTGAAGTGCTTTTCACCAAGAGACCACATTACCACATTATGGCTTTGTGTTAGTTTTTGCTTCTTAACCTTATCCTAAGCCAACACATACAAGAGCTGCAAAACATCTGCATGGTCCAAGTATCACTTCTGAAGAACAAATAGACTACTCTTACTTTCTGGCATTAAAACTGCACCTTTCAACTAAGGTTCTCAAAGCACTTGACAAAGAATGTTACCCATCCACATTTTGCTGATAGGCAAACTGTGGGACTGAGGTTCAGTAATCTTCCCTCCACCCCCTGCTGCCAAGGCACGCAGCAAATCAATCAGAATGTGGATTAAAATCCAGGTGTCCTGCATTTAAGTTCCATAACCTAATCATTAGCCTACTTTACCACACATGTATTTTTCCTGCTATGGTTAACTACAAAACAGCAGTTTTCATCACACTCACCCAGCAATGTGCCTGAACTCTTGCCCTGAAGCATCCACCTTTAGGAAAGGGGAGTTCAGACTCCATGGTCCTTGGCCTCTGCTAGTAATGTCAACAAGAGGATGAGAAGTGGACTGAAACCACCAATTCATTTCACACAATCATTGAATAGAGGTCAAAGTATAATGACTTTCTGTTACTACTGACCCAAGGCCAGATTAAAACCAACCAAGAGGTGAAAGGTTCTGTATCCCATTCCTAAACTCCTGAGTTACTCAGTCTCAATGATTTTATGACTTTTGAGCTCCCAAAACAGCACCACAGTATAAAGTCCACCTAAAAACTATTTATGTAAATAGGTAAATGTTGCCAACGGCATCTTAAAAGAACAATAGGTCAATTCAGTGCAGAAGTGTTAACTAGCTTAGTGACATGGTAAATTATAGTCTCTAAAGATGGCAAAATTTAGAGAAAAAGTAGTGAAACACTGGTTAGCACTTACTGTTCCTCTAAAAGTGCAAATTAAAGTGTCAACTTGTATAAAGTGGCAAATTCTTTAGGAGCTGGATTTCAAATCAGAGTAGCTCTTTTTTCAACTTCCTTTGAAATACCATGACTGTAGTGTAGCCCAGAGCTAGGTTAGGTGAAAAAGAAGTCCCCAAAATATGTGAGTAACCCTTTAGCACTGGCCAGGCCTTGTTGCAGCTCTGACCATATTCAGATGCCAGGATCCTCCATGGAGCTGCGTGGAATTCACTGGTTGCAGACAGTTCAGCAAATTCTTTTCCCTGCCTTGGTTCCATGAGGCATAATTCATTTATACTCATTAATATCTTTGAAATCAGGGCAGAATCAGGAACTGGTATTGCTGAATATGTACTAAACACAATTTACCTGTAAGCACATAGCCATGGATTAATGATGTTCAGTGGTGTATCAGAAATGACGACTAAAACTTAATCTCAGTAACAGGTGATTTTTGCTGAGTACAGAGAACTTTACAGTCGATATTCTAAGATGTGAGGTATTATTGCTAAGATATTTATGTTGCTGTAGGGCTCTAGCAGCATCAAACAAGGAATAGGATCCATTGTGTTAGGTGCTGTATCGACACCAGGTGAATGTCCTGCTCACAATCCAAGTTATATAGAGCCACAACAGAGAGATCAAACTACATAACTGAAGAGGAAAAGAAAGGCAAAATTAACGGCAAAAGAAAGAAGTTGTCATCTGGAACAAATTGCCAGAGGTTTCAGCTCACAGCTTCTAATTCTGATGCCTTTAAATATCAACAGACAAGAAATAATAATATAACTTAGTTATACCACACTGCCCCTTTAATATAATCTTTGGTACAGGCAGCTGAAAGAGACTCTACTCAGATGCTACAGAGCCCCTTGGGTGGTAGCACTGTGTGAAGTTTCGGCCTTAACTACTCCAAAATCAAAGTCTTCAGCACAGCTGTATGAGGCTCATCACTTTTGGTTCACAGACGACCAGTGAGTTTTTTCTTGGTTCAGCTTTGCACGTGTCCCTAATGTCCACGACAGACAAAAAGGTTTTTTCCCAACACTAAATTCTGTGAGTCCTCACACTTCCTGTGAAGTGCTGCAGAAATAAGGTGAAGGCCTCTGAGGCACGTCCAAGAAAAGGCAGCAGTAATTCACTGTGTGAAAGATTATGGAATGAAAAAAGCTGAGAACTGTGTACGTACATGCGCTAAAAATTACCTGAAACTTTCCACAATCCAACCGGACTCACCTGAAAGAGTGGCACCACTTCAGACACACTTTGTGGATCCAGAGGGTCTCGGAGAAGTATGCACAGGTAATAGATAACTTTTTGCTATAAAAAAAAAAATAAAGTCAACAAATGTTATCAGTGTCCCTTACATTGTCACTAGAAGAGGATCTGGTTCAATTAAACTGAGGTAGGACATCTTCTTGCAATGACTCAGTATCTACAATTAAGATTTACAAGAACAATGCATTTTGCTGACAAGGATGCACAAAGTGTGTCCAAGAGGTGTTTATTTCTTGCTTGCTATTTGTGTTTTACCTTAGAAATATCAGAAATGTTTTAACCCTATTCACTTTAATTGAAAGGGTGATGGTGATGTTTTTTTTTGACAGACACTTCTTTCTCCAAAGTGTTCATCAAATACTGGGGTTCAATAGATACAACCCTCCCCCCTCCAGTGTTTAACAGTGTGGCTAAAAAATCCCTTACTCTTACTATTACTATTATTTCACTAGTTCTCCTGTCATTATGGGGTTTGTTTTTCTTCTAAAAATCACATCATGTTAGAACACAGCTACAAAGATTTGAGCAAAGATTTGTTCCATCATACAATGACTACGAAAATGTTGTCAGTGACATCACATGAGTGAACTCAGTTCTTCATGGTAGTGTTCAAATGCAGCAAGATGCAAAATACTGTGATGCAAACAAGATCATAGACATCAATTATCCTTTTTAAGGCAAATACGACCAATTTCAAAGATGTGCCAGGCTTCTTTCTCCACCAAAAGAAAACAACAAACCAAATAGAGTCCATGCTCAATGGTTTCTCCCTTTGTAGGACACCTTTAAGATCTGTAAGGTAGTGCTAAGTACTCCAGGGGGTTTCCCCTTCACTTTCCAGCTGACTTCTTGGATATCTTCCTATAATACAACAGCATTCTTCGCAGAAAGTGAGGGGGGAGAGGAAGGGGAAGTATAGTTAAAATACTTTTCAGAAGAAAATGGAAATTCTCAGGTATTTTACCTCAGCCTGAGATCTCTTAGCTACTCACAAGCCAGGCACAACTAGATATAGTCTGGATTTGAAGGGAAGATCTTCAAGGAAATCCAGGGCAGTTGCTGTGCAGTATTGTCTATTATATCTAATATATTTTATCTCAAAACACCACAAGAGCCACTAAATGCAGCACGTAGCAATGCTACACAAAAGCTTAAAAGCAAAATGGTTGGTATTTGAAGGAGAAATCACATACATCTTAGGAAATTATTAGTTGTAGCAAAAACATTATAATATGTATGTGCATGTTAGAGGAGCTAAACACATCTGAAAATGAGCCATTACATTTTTGTGGGCTTGCTAGCATTGTGGTGATGAACTTCTGTTACAGGGAAGATAATCTGACAGTTCTGAGACATTCCCAAAAGGAAACTTTAAATTCTGTATTAAAGGTCTGTCAAAAATTACATGGATAAGAGAGTTATAAGAAACTCTCTGTGCTAAAGGGGGCAGGGAGGGGGGAGTATCTGGGTGGAATAGCTACAGCTACAAGGAGAAACAAAGGCTATGAAATCTGCTTCCTGTGTGGAGAGGAGCCTCAGCTCAGGTCCCTGGCTAGTAAAAATGTGCACTGCTTGCCTGGCTTTGGTCTGTGATTCTATTCCCTAGGAAAAAAAAAAAAACACGTAAGGCTGGGCCCTTATGTTAGAGACCCCCTTTGAAAACTGAGTTCCAGGTAAAGCTGTCTGCTGGACAAAATGAGGGCCAAATAGATGTGGTATCCACACAGTATTAATTACCTCCTACATTTTAAAATACATACTTGCAACACAGCCTTGGCCTCTCCTACAATGATGAGTCAATTCATATCTGAAACAGAGTGTTGGCAGTCTCTTAACTTAGTAAAAAAAATACCTTGTGGACAAAGCCAAGAGAAGGTGACTCACGGTGGAAACAGACGTTGCCCGACATTTCATCTGTATCGGGATAAAAATGTATATGGAGGCACAAATTGTGAGCAAATACACACTGAAGGAAAATTAGTGGCATGACAAAAGGTAGTAATTGGCTCTGCCACTTTATTTCAGCAGACATCTATTAGCTCTGTGGCAAGGGAGTACAGACAGTCTGATCTGCTCACACTCTCCAGCTACCCTAGGCAGGTGCTCTGGAGGGCTGAGTGCCCCTCAAGCCCTTGAAGCACCTGTCTGACTTGCCTGGTTACAGGGAGGCATTAGGGCACCTCTCCATAACCAGGGGTGTAGGTTGTAGCCATGTTGGTCTAAGGACATAGGCAGACAAGGTTCTTTGGGTGAATCTGATATCTTTTATTAGACCAACTTAAATAGATGGGAAAAAATGTTTAGCAAGCTTAAGTTGGTCTAATAAAAGATATCAGATTCACCCAAAGAACCTTGTATCCATAAGCAGGGAACTTGGGTGGCTTCCCACTCAGCCACAGCTGTTTCCTGTGAATACAGGAGCAAGTCTGGCTGAATGGGGAAAGACCTGCTTTTCCCATTCAGCCAGATTCATTCCTGCTGTCAGAGGGGATGCTCCTGGCTGAGTAGAGAAAACAGTGCTTTCCTCACTCACCCCAAACCACCTCAAATCATCCCTTCTCCTGCACAGTCAAGGGTGGGACACGGGGTGACGTGGGTTTCACCCAATGAAGCAGATTGGTTGTGTTGTGACAACAATGTGGCAGAGCTGATATGCTTCATTTGACGATGTCTTTTCCTTAAGTCTCCAGCCCCGCTTTTACATTGTAGAGCACTGGTGTTGCAACCTTCTAGAATACCTGCCCCTCCCTTCCCTTCACCCACACCTGATACAAGAACAATTTTGTCTGTTTGCATATGAGATTTTAAACCTGAACGAAACACTAATAAATTGGAAAAAGGCTGATTTTTCAGAAGAGTTAAAAAAAATCAGAAGAACAGAAAAACAACATGAAATACACTGTGCTCTGACTTTTAATATATAATATATAAAATATTTCGGGTGTGTCTCAGCACTATGGAGCAGCACTAAGGACTAAAGCCTGTCAACGGCTTTACATCAAGACTGAATCTGGTCTTTGCTCATTTAAAATCTCTCCAGCAGATTTCACAAAGGAATTGATGGCAGAATAAGAAAGAGAAAAAGTATAACACCCCCACCCCCCATGTGTTGATCAAATAATCAGAGAGAAACGGGGCTAGAAGAGACCAAAGGAGGTCTGTTAGTCCACTCCATTGCTCAAGACAGAAGCATCGCTATTTAAACCATCTCAGCCAAATGTTTGTCTAACCTGCCCTTAAAACCTTCTACTGACATTTTCTTCGGTCTCTCTAGGCAATTTGTTCCAGTGCTTAGCCACCCGCAGAAGTGGAAAGTTCTTCCTAATATCTAACTTAAATCTGCCTTGTTGCAATTTAAACCCATTAATTCTTGTCCTGTTTCTTACGGTCATAGCAAACAATTATTGCCACCTCCTTTTTTGTACTTGAACAATCCTGTTCATATCAAATCCCTCCTCAATCTCTGCTTCTCTGGACTTATCTCAGTTCTTCCAACCCTTCCTCAGATGTCATGTTTTCCAGACCTCAACCATGTTTGTTGCTCTTCGCTAGGTTCCTTCCAATTTGTCTATGTCTTTCTTGAAGTGCAGTACCCAAACGGGACAAAGTACTCCAGGCAAGCCCTCATCAGTACTGCAGAGTGGAAGAATCCCTTCCTAACTTACATGCCATATTCCTATAAATGTGTCTTAGTATGCTATCAGTTTTTTGCAACAACACACATCTCTGACTCAATTTGCAATCCACTAAAACCCCCATGTCCTTTTCTGTACTGCTGCAGCTTAACCAGTCATTCCAGAGTTTGTATTTGTGCACTTGACTGTTCCACTCTAAGTGCGGTACTCGGCACTTGTCCATTCTGAACTGCATCTTATTATTTCGAACCCTTTTTCCCAGTACATCAAGGTAATTTTGTATCAGCCCTGTTTTCCTAAGAGCCTACTTCCCCACCCAGTTTTATGTCATCTCCAAGTATACCTCATTTACACTCAATTTCATCCTCCAAGTTATTAATGAAGATATTGAACAGGACCAAACCCAAAACAAATCTCTCCTCACAGTCTAACATTGAGACATGGATGACTATTCTTTAAACACAATGAACCAACCTCTAATGCACTCATCCTATAACAGTTTCATATAAGCAATTCTTATAAGCAAGCTAAATAAGTATGTCATGGGAGACAATGTTAAAGACCTCACTAAAGTCACTCCATTGCTCCTCTCACCCACATCCTGTCAACTTGTCATCATTGGTTTCACTACAAAAAATTGTTTCCAACACTATCCAAGGACTTGCTGGACTGTTTAGACCAGTGATTCTCAACCAAGGAGCTGCATCACCCCCTGGGGTGCCTTGAGGAATCCAGTGTTAAAAACACTGTCCTGCTGTGGTCTGTTCAAGTTCTCTACGACAGAAAAACTGCTCTATTATTTTTTCCATAGGCAAGAAACAAGTGAAAACAAAAAGCTGGCATTTGCCTAGGGGTGCTGTTAGTTTAATGAGGGAAGGGTGCCTTGAACCAAAAAGGTTGAGAACCACTGGTCTATGCACTGATCTGTTATTACCTTCCCAGTAGATGTCACAGTAACTGAAGACCCCTGCAAGCACCAGGTTGAAGAATTTAGGTACTTCATTTAGCTGTTTAAGGAGTCTTGACTACTTCCTCCTACCAATGGAAGCTAAGCCAGCAGGTGGCCAGAGCCTTTACCTCCTAGTCTGGCAGCTCATCTATTTCCCGCCCCCCCAATGACACATTACCTCTCCTATTTTTTTCCTTTCAACTTAACCCACAGACTTTCTCACTTTATTCTGGACTATTGATCAGGAATACATATCTTTAATATACATAAGCAATGCTTCCCCCTTTTTTCCCCTGCCTGTGTTTCCTGAACCAGTTATACATATCCATACCTAGATTTCAGTCATGTGGACTAGCCCATCAACTCTCAATTATCCAAATTAGATCATAATTTTGTGTGCGTATGAAGACTTCTAGTTCTTCAACACTAGGCTCTGTGTAGATGGTGACCAAAACCAGACAGGGCTGGTTATGGAACTTGTCACTAGGAGAGGTGGGGAGGAAAAGAGAATTAAGAGAGCAGATGAATGCTCAGGATTCTTCTTTGCAAATGACTCCAAGCTGCGGGGAGTAATAGATACACTGGAGGATAGGACTAGGATTCAGAGAGACCTCAGTAAATTGGAGAACTGGACCAAAAGAAGCCTCATGATGTTCAGTAAGGACAAGTGCAAAGTCCTGCACTTAGGACAAAACAATCCCATGCACCAGTACAGACTGGGGACCAACTGGCTAAGCAGCAGCTCTGGAGAAAAGGACCTGGGTGTTACAGTGGACAATAAGATGAATATGAGCCAACAGCGTGTCCTTGTTGCGAAAAAGGTTAACCGCAAACTGGGCTGCATTAGTAGGAGCATTGCCAGCAGATAGAAGGAAGTGATTATTCCCTTCTGTTCAACACTGGTGAGACCACATCTGGAGTACTGTGTCCAGTTTTGGGCCCCCCATTACAGAAAGGCTGTGGACAAATTGCAGAGTCCAGCAAAGGACAATGAAAATGGTGAGGGGGCACATGGCTTCTAAAGAGAGGCTGAGGGAACTGGGCTTATTTAGTCTGAAGAAGAGAAGACTGAGGGGGAATTTAATAGCAGCCTTCAACTACCTGAAGGGGGGCTCCAAAGAGGATGGAAGTAAACTGTTCTCAGTGGTGGCAGATGACAGAACAAGGAGCAGTGGTCTCAAGTTTCAGCAAGGTAAGTTTAGATTAGATATTAGGAAAAGCTCTCTCACTGGGAAGGTAGTAAAGGACTGAAACAGGCTACCCAGAGAGGTGGTGGAATCTCCATCCTTGGAGGTTTTTAAGACCTGGATGGACAAAGCCTTGGCTGGGATGATACAGCTGGGGATGGTCCTGCTTTGACCAGGGGGCTGGACAAGATGACCTCCTGAGATCCCTTCCAACCCTAATTTTCTATGATTTCATACATGCAAGAATTTCAAGCACTGACAACAAAAATTGACTATTTCAATGTTAAAACATTTCCCATGTCTCTAAACATAAGGACATGAAAAAACATATTGGACATTACACAAAAGAAACACTACACAAAAGAAAGGCTGTAAGTGTTTACCATGTAAATAGCCTCGTTGATGACCACATCCTTCACTCGGCTCATTTCAATGAAAGTTGTATTCTCCTTGCCTGAGGCATAAGATGAGGTCATCTGGATGCCAAGTGATGCAATGACTAACAGGGACTCTTGGTCAATTTTCACAAAGTGCAGGTATACAATCAGGCCGATCAGTGTGATAAATATAGCTGCGGAAAGCACCATGCTGTTCTGTAATGAAAACCAAGCAGAGACATCTGTTCTAACCCTGCAGTTAACTGCAGGTAAGCAAAAGGCACAGGTCTACACAAAGCATATTGCAGTATTGGGGCCAGTTTTCCTTTAGATATGGTCCTCTCACACAAATACAATAGCTGCATCTTGGTTGACTTATTGGACTGATGAGGGCCAGAGGGGGACATAACTGACCAGAGAGCTACATAAACTCTTCCTAAAACATTGGGTTATAACATCCAAGACAGCACATCATATAAATAGATTTTGATGAAGCTTTCCTATCAGTATGCAATGAGACAGTAATGTGATGCAAGTATCATTAACCCTCTGTTACAGATGGGGAAAACAGAGGCACAGAGCAGAGTTTTGTATGGGTTTTGGCTAAAGCACAGGATTGGTAACCCAGAGCTCAACTGGATTATAACTCTGCTAAAACCAGTATGGGTGACGTTGCTCAACCTTAATCTCTTTCTGCCTCAAATGCCACTGCACTATTTGGGTTATGATGCTTCCTTTCTCCCATGGTTTATCTGCAGACCATCACCCTATCTCCTGGAACCAGTTTTTTCTTTTTTATAGAGAACACTGCTAGGCTTGAGTTAAGAAATGTTGATTATTTCACTAAGAAGTGAAAACCATGTTGGTCCTGCCTCACTTTATGACACTGCCCAAGATGAATGAGCCCTGGTGGCAGTCTTCAAGAAGAGCAGCCGAACATTATTCCTCAAGCTGCTCTGTTGGGAAAAGGCTTGTGGGCAGATACAGATCATGCATTGCACTAGGAGAAAGGTGGAAGAACAAAATTATTGAGGCTTGTAAAAAAAAAAAAAAAAAATCAAGCTGAAACATGCTGGGGGTGACCGCTGGCTGAGACTGGATTCTTTTTCAAAACAAGTTCCCATTTTTTCTCCAACAAGCAGTTGTTAGTCCTTCTTCAGTAAACCATTTTTGACAAGAGCAATCTTGCTAATTTTCACTCTTATCTTTCCCTTTCTCAGAAAGATTGTAGAGAAAGTTGTTTTGAGGCACATCTAGCATCAGATATAGTCCCTAGGCTGCCTCAATCAGGTTTTGGCTTGGCTATACGGTACAGAGATTACATTTATCTCACTGGTTGTTCATCACCTCCTAGCAATGGGCAAAGACCAGACAGTTATGCTAGTTCCTTTAGATCTGTTAACAAGCCTTTGAAATCTTTGACTACCAGGTGCTGTTGACTCACCTGTGCACACTAATTAGGTAAAAGATGCTGCTAGTGCAATGCCATTCTTTCTTATAAATATCTAAGGATGAATCTTAGCCATTACTCATCTGCCCCAAGAAATTGTTCCTGTAGGACTTCAAACATACCCTGTTCTCCTCCACTGTGTGTTTTCTGGACTCACAAGAATGTCTAAACACCTCTCAGTGAAGATACATGTTCTCTGCCCTGAAGGAGCTTATAAACTACAAAAGAAAATCTCAAGGCAGCTTGGGCTGTTGCACGTGCCATCCAGAACATGGCTGGTACCTGGTGCAGTCTCACGGTCAGCAGAGAGCTGTGCATCTTGTTTTCATGGGCCTGACCAGGCTCACGGTAACAGCCCATCTTGCCCAAAGGGTGACAGTCTCTCAGCTCTCCAGTAAGGCCAGTGACTCCTTATTCACTTTGCATGGCCATCTCCCAGACCAGGAAAGACCCTCTGGCTAGTGGGGAGGAACCTGGGCAAGTGTGGCACTGTTTCCCTCTCTCTCCACTCACATTTGCAGGCAGAATTTCACTGGTCAATGTCTACAGGCTTCCTTGACTCATTCAGGGGGCAGCAGATACTGGCCAGTGTGCTCTACTTTGTGTCCCCTTGTTACTAACCTATGACCTCACTTCCTTTCCTGTTTTCTCTTAATTTGTCCCCCTGTATTTAGCTGATGTATCCCCAGTGGCCTCCCTTATTAAGGCAGGCGTACAGTATTCGTGGTGGGCTTATGTCAATGATCTTTCGGCACATCAAACAGGCCCACCTCTGACAGCCTCAGTTAGCGGCTCTTCCACAGAGCTGTTGCCAAGGGTGTACCTGGCACGTTTCAAGGACACCCACGACACCTGCCCCTTCTCTCAGCAGAGGGGGACCCTGGCATATACCTACCTTGAGTGCACCAGGCCCTATTCTGCCTCCTCCAGAACCTCCTGCTGAGGTTCTGGCTGCATTTCTCCCCTCACCTTTTCTGTTACGCACTGCTCAGCCGTGGCACCACCAAGCCCTGGGACCTCTCAATCAACCTCCTCCAGTTCTGGCCAATCTGACCAGCTACCAGACCAGGCCGGGGTGGAGGAACCCAGAAAGGCATGGGGCTGTCTTCTTATCACCCCTCCGCTCCCATCTCTGGGCAGGGTTTCACCAGTCTGCATCCACACGCTCCCTCGACTCATTCAGGGGGCAGCAGGCACTAGCCATCATGCTGTGCTCCGCGTCCCCTTCTAGATCCCTTGTTATTAACCCGTGACCTCCCTCCCTTCCCCATTTTCTTTCTATTTGCCCCCCGCATTCAGTTGTTAGGGTCACGAGCAGCCTCCCGGATTGAAGGGGCCTGCAGCAGCGGGTCCCAAACGCTGACAAATTGCACGCTGCCAATTTAAAACAATACAACTTTAAGTACCACCAGCACATTTTTGTCATATAAAGTAATGATAATAAATCTGTTAACGCGTACCACCAACAGGTTGCCCGTGTACCACTGGTGGTATCCATACCACAGATTGGAAGCCAGTGGCCTAGTTTTCTTAGGGACTCACGATTTTCTCAGCACAAGAAGAAAGCCACGTTCACTTTGAAGGAGCTTCTTGCATCAGAGCCTTGCTCAGGTCCTGGTTACCTGTCCCCTCCCCTCCCCCACAACACACCTGAGGTCTGACCTGCGAGGTGCTCAGGCCCCCGTAGCATGCCGCCCTGTTGGCCTGACGTGCTTGGGAAGCTGGGATACTGCCACGCTCAAGGGTCGCCGTACCTGGGTGAGCACGAAGAGCCAGTACGCCGCCAGCCACACAGAGCAGGTGGCGGCGCTGAGCGAGCGGAGCTGCACGGGCTGGCACCGCACCGAGAACTCGCGGCAGGAGGCGCTGTACTGGCGGCACTGCAGCGCGATGCAGTCCTCCCGCTCCTCCATGCCGAGGCCTCCCGCCACCCAGAACGGCCCGCCCCTCTAGCTGCGCCCGCCCCGCAGCTCTATGGTAAGGCACTTCCGGGATCCTGCGGAATTCCGAGCGGCCTTGACTCCGCCCCCGCCTCGGGACGTTGTGGCGGCGGAGCCCCGCCCCCAGAGAGTGACGCACGTGGGTTCGGAGGACAGAGGCACCACGTGGAGCTCGCGTGGCAGGGCAGCTGCAGCCTCCGGGTGCGGGATCCATTCGTACCGCGGGAGTGCATTGACCCCAATTGAAAATACTTAGTGCTGGGGGCGGGGGGGCTCTACACGTGGTCGGGGCAGCAGAGCTCTTAGGGTTCCGTGCAAGGCTCACGTGAGTCTCTGGAACCTAGGCAGACAAGGTTCCTTGGGTGAATTTTATATCTTTTATTAGACCAACCCAAATGGTACCTCTGGAACCTTGCACTTGATTTTGCCAAGCGCACGCTAGGAAAGAAGGGGTAAATACCCTCTCCTGAGGGCTGCAGGACAGCTGTGCCAGTGGTCCTCCTGGGACCAAAGCTGGAGGTCCCCTGCCTGGAGGGTCTTGCCTCCTTGCTCAGGGTCAGACCTGTTACTATATTTGGGGTTAGGAAGGAATTTTAGCCTGGGATCAGATTAGTAGGATTGGGAGGCGGAGTCGGGATTTGCCTGTCCTCTGTGGGTGGGGGGGCAGCCCTGTACAGGGAACTCCAGCATATATTGACATTTCCTAGAACCAGGACATTTGGTTGCCTGGTTCCCCTGCTTTACCTGTGGGAAATTAGGGCAGGGGTTGACAACCAGGGGTACGTGTACCCCTGGAGGTACTTAAGAAGGCCCTAGGAGGTACATGCGGGTGGGTGAGGACAGAGTGCTGCCACACACCATCTTCTGCTTGTGCACAGGTGCTGTCCACGCAAAAGGAGACCTTTTGCAATCTTTTCTCCCATGCCTGATGCATGGTGTTTGTGCCTGAAAGCTTGCAATTAAAGAATTTTTTTAACAAAATCTAGTTGGTCTAATAAAAGATATCACTTCTACCACACGTCCTGATTGATATAATGAACATTAAATCTGCCATTACACAATTTCTCCTGTATACCCCCCCAGAGATGTTTTGCATACCCCCTGGGACCCCCTGGTCTAGATGACCTCTGGAGGTCCCTTCCAGCCTGACTTCTCTGATTCTGTGAAATCCTTTCAAAGGTGCTGTGGGGGATCCATGCAGTGCCAACATCACTGTGTGCAAACATGATTCACAGGATAAACCCAGAGATTTCCTATAGGAATCCATAGCATTAAAAACTTTCTGTCCTGTTGTGGTGTTCCTCATTTTTTTTGCAGCCGAAAAATTGCTCTCTTGTTTTTCTGTAGTCAAAAAACCAAAACTGACTTGGCATTTTCTGCAGGGTGCCACAACTCTAAAAAGGTTGAGAACCACTGCTCTAGGAAGTCAATCCTAAAGCAAACATATTCACTCCAGCGTAAGATTCTGGGAAAATCTTTTTCTACATCGGGGTGGCCAACCTGCAGTACAGGTGGCACAGGCAGCCTCTGTGAGTGGTATGCAGCAGACTGCTGAGGGAACAGGCAGCACAGTGTCAGAGAGGGCAGCATATTAGGCAGGGAGCACAGAGCAGAGTACAAAAAGAAGATTGGGCAGGGGAAGGGGATTGGAGTGGCACTCAGGGTTTAATTTGTGGCATGCCTGCCAAAAAAGTTGACCCTCAGTGTCCTAGACTAAAAAGCCATTCTAATGAAAGCACTGCTGCGTCTCGTGTATCAGCGTCTCTGCGGTTAAAAATGGCAGCAGGGGAACTTGAACTAAAGCCCGTTGGATGAGCCCACCACCATTTTCAAGCACAGGGATGCTGATACCCAAGACGCTGGAGGCTGTTGGAGCTTGGTACTTGCCATGCTCTGATGTGCTGGAATTACAGTGTGTCGGAAAAACCTCCGCACTCCTGTACAGATCCACTTGATTGCTGTCAATGTGAGAGTAAAATATCCTACAAAGAATCCCACTATTGCTGCTGTTGTGTTTGTACAGGGGTCCCTATGCAAAGGAAAACTGGCCCCAATACTGTAATATACGTTGTGTAGACCCCTGCCTTACATCACCCTTTCCGTTGGGTTAGAACATGTCTCTGCTGATTTTTCATTACAGAACATGGTGCCCCCAGCAGGAATACTTATCACTGTGATCAGCCTGATTGTGTCCCAAAGCCTGAAGAACCTTTGTCTAGGAATGTCTGCTGATGCAACAACAATGGGAGTGGAACAGAAGGGGGGGCACTGAAGAATCAGTGCCAAGACAGCTTTGGGCATGGCAGCAGGTGAAGGGTGGCACTAGCTGAAGACTATGGCTTGGACTGGATAATACAGGTAGCTGCTGAGAAGATGGAACAGAAATTTAGAAGAGAGGGGAGGGCACGCAGGATAAACTGAGGAAAGAAAATAATCATGGGGAGAGAAATGGAAAGAAACAAGTAGAGAAAATTAAAGTGAGTAAAAGGAAAAAGGGGCAGCTTTGGGGAAGAAATTCAAGTAGAGAGAGAAATAAAAGGGAACCAAAGTAGCAAATTTTGAAAGGGAGAGTAAGGTGGGAGTTGCAAGAGATGAAGAAAAAATGATGTCCTAGGGATAGAGGGGAACCAGTAATGGGGGAGGAAAAGACATGAATAGGGGATACTAGGAGGGTGGTAGGGGGAGAGATGAAAACAAACAAGAACACAGAAGGAAGGGAAAAGAGAGGAATGGGGAAATGTTGGATGATGATAGTGAAAAGAGAAAAAAATACTTCTTTATGTTTAGATATAGTTTTAATGGGAAGGAAGAGAGGCAACACCCTATTTCTGGGTAACACCTGATTTGCCTAAACCCCATATGGGTCTCTATAATTTGTATCTGTAGTGAGCCTTTTTCCATAAAGCTACTGGATTTGAACAGTGAAGAGTCTGGGAAAATGTAGCAGTGCACTTGTGAGGAGGCGGACAGATGGGAAATCAACTGGGAAGGGAAGGTATTAGAAAGTCAGGGTAAGTATGAGAGAGAGAGACAGAGAGAGAGTGCGTGTGTGTAAAAGATAATGTGTAAAAGATAATGAAGGGGGGATTTATTTTTTTATCTTATTCAAGGCCAAATCAGTTCCAAATTCAATTGGGCGAAGTTCCAAAATTTGACCAAGCAGAGTTCACTTGTCAAGTGTGTGTGGCTCTACCACCTCGCAAGTATCCTCCTTCCCAGACCCATCTGCCTGGGGCTTCACCAGGGGCATCGTACCTGCAATCCTTGGGGTTCACATGCCCCCCCCCCCCACCTTTGATCTTAGCCAAAATGAATGAATGAATTCTTCCTGCACCAAAGCTTGTCTGCAAGGCAAGATTAGTTTGGAGTAAACTATCCTGTGAATGTTTAGGATAGTTTACTCCAGCTCCTGCTCACTCGGAAAAGCGGGGTAAACCATCTTGCTCAAAGGCACTCTTAAGACCTCAGCTGTCTGAAGTGAGGAAGAGGCGGGTGGGGGTGACCGCGACCAACCAGCCATTCAGCTCTTCAAACAGAGAGCACAATGCCTTGAGCCATATCCTTTCCACAGAAGAAAGGCAAGCGCAAGCCATCCCGGGGGGCGTCGGTCTCAGGTGGGTGCTGTGACCGGAGAGAGGGGGAAGTCCTCGGGTGAAGCGCTGGGGGCCGCGGCTGTGCTGGGCCCGCCAGAAAGGGAGGCCTTCCCATTGTCCCCGCGCTGTGCCGGAGGAGGAGGATGGGGGG